ATACATTTTACCTTTGTATATGTTATGAATTCACAATACTTTGGTCTTATTTTTGTTTAAACAGTCAGTTGTCTTTTAAAGAAGTTTAAATGGTAAGAGTCTTTACTATTTACCCACTTACTTATCATTGTAGTTACCATTGCTAATGTTCATTCTTCTAGATCAATCTTTCCACATGATATCATATTCCTTCTGTTGGAAGGATTTTTAACAATTCCTACAGTGAAAAGCTGCTATAGCTGAGTTCTTTCATCATTTACATATCTGAAAGAATTTTGATTTCATTTCATTTTTGGAATATGTTTTTACTGGGTATAGAATTCTAGATCAGCGGTAAACATACTGTTCCACTGTCTTCCAGACTGTATTTTTATCTAATAATAAATTCAATGTTATTCTTTTTTTTTTTTTTAAGATTTTATTTATTTATTTGACAGACAGAGATCACAAGTAGGCAGGGAGGCAGGCAGAGAGAGAGAGAGGAAGAGAAGCAGACTTCCCACTGAGAAGAGAGCCCGATGCGGGGCTCTATCCCAGGATCCTGGGATCACGACCTGAGCTGAAGGCAGAGGCTTTAACCCACTGAGCCACCCAGGTGCCCCCAGTGTTATTCTTATCACCGATTTTCTGTATATATGTTTTTGTCCTCTAACAGATTCCAAGATTTTTTCTCTTCATCAGCATTTCTCAGAAATTTATTACAATGTACTTTGGTATGGTCTTTTTCCATATTTTTATGTTTGGCATTTTTTAAAGCTTTCTTAGATTTACGATTTTATAGTTTTCATCAAATTTGTAAATTTGTCAGTTATTTCAGTTGTTTTTCTATCCCTACCCCCTTTCTCTCCATTAGAAAGTCCCATATGTGTGTATTGGGCTTTTTTGGTAGGCTGAGAATGAAATGAGAGCAGAATATTCAGGTTAGAGGGTTCAGCAGATTGTTAGAAAGTAAGGATTACAGCTGAGAAGAGAGATCACGGATGAAATATACTTTGGGATATATCTGAATAGTGGTGGTAGTTGAAGCTCTAGGGGTTTTTGATTACTCTGAATGATAATGATATAAAAAGTAGACAGAAGTGATCTGCCCTTATATCCTGGTCATGTGCGGATGATTGGCTACTAGTAAAAAGGTCAGCAATCACACATAACCTCGTCGTGGAAGTTATTTATGCAATCATTAGCCTCTTTGCCAGGCCTCAAACCTGCTCAGTTTGAGGATATTACATTCTCTCAACCTTGGTTCCCCTTCCCCAGAAGATTGACTTTGTGAACTTCTCATCTCATTTAGCTCCCTGATGAAATGGCACCGACGCAGAGCTGACAAACCAGTCTGAAACAACCCGCACTTTTACTCTCTGACTCTTTTTAACCCTGCTTAGTTTCCATCATAGCACTTACCATTACCTGGTAAATGTTAGTGTGTGATTTTAATCTCTTCTCTATACCTAGAATGTAACTCCATGAAAGAAACATTCTTGTCTTACTTCCTGCTTGATCACCAGTACTTTGCTTATAAGATATGCTTAATTATGTTTGCTAATCAAATTCATAAGGTGTTTTTTTTTTAACACTTGTAGTGAAATTACTGAAATACTTCAGAAAATGACATAATGGGAAGAGTTACATATAGTATTTTGAGCATTACCAACACGCAAGGTTATATCAGGAAACACTTTTATGTAAATTAAATGTCATAAGACTTCTTTGGCATTTAATACAAGCAAGATTTGTCTCTGTGATCCCAAATCATTGGAGCGAGGTAGTGCCTCATCAGGTAGAATGAGAACAGAGTAGACCAGGTGCTTTGGCCCCTGGGGAGATCAGAACATTGGGCCTCATGAAGCAGAAGGAAAAGAAATGAGGGGAGATTATGCCTGTTTCCACATTTTTAATCACTATTCTAAGCCACAGTAAGTAGGTGGTTTGTAAAATTCAGAGAATGCTAAGTCCAATATCGATTTTTCAGTGCTCACCTTGTGTGGTCCCTTTTGCAGCATGGTGTTCTTGCTCACTCTTATTTTCTAATGCTCCTTTACAGGTTTCATTTCTCTTGTATACTCATTCTTGTTCTCCATGATTCTTTCCTTGGCTCTCAGCTCCTTTACCCAACACTCTTTCTCTAGGTGATGTTGATGTTTTATATATGAACTTTCCTGCCCTGATGTCTTTTGGAAGCATTTCACCCACATAGCTCACCATTTAATACTTGTCTGTGTCATGTCCTTTAGACATCTGAAATTTGGCATGGGCCAAATTGATGGATAAGGTCAGGGTTTGGACTTCACTCAGAAATAGAGACATCGTTAATGATGGGATAAAAGAAGGCACAGATGTGCAGGGAGGATGTCCATTGCGCCATTGCTTGCTAATAATTTCAAAAGCTGATAGTTCAAAATGTCCCAGTGTCAAAAACACTAACCTCAAACTATCATAGTATCAGTGTACCATGTACAGAAATAGCTGTTTCTTCAATGCATGGCTCAGACAGTCCCGTTACTGAAGTCTGAGAGTGGTGTAACATTTGGAAAACCGTGTGTCTTTCCTTCTCTTTTCCTGACTTCTAAGTGATCATCTCTGAAACATTACAATGTCTGTGTAGCAGCAAGAAGGGGTCCAGACCTACTAGGCCTTATGCTAATGGACTGGTCTGATTACTCCAGGTTTCATGGCTCAGTGGTTCTACTTATTTAATTTACTTCCATATTTTTGTTTTGTTATTTATTTTTCGGTCTTCTAAGGATAACTACATTGAGCTGGACCTAAAAATCAGTGTTTAATGGACTAGATTTAAAAAATGCCTCACAGACCAGGAATTTTAGAATTTTTCCACTTCAAGTGAATGGCTATCTACTGATGTTCATATGAAAGATAGGAAGATTGCCAATATATCTTGAATAAAAGCACCTTCCGTTAGATGTTTACAGTTGTATAGAAAGGAAGTTACAGAACATCAAGATCATGAAATTGATAACAAGTGACTTTAATGATCTTAGTAGAATAAAGTGATTTCAGACACGAAACAAATATTTAGTAAGTGTCTAGGGTGTATCAAATACTGAACCTAGAAATTCAGCAGTGGTATTGGTGGAAGGAAGAGGTAGAGTCAGACTGCATTCAGTGGGCTTGCACAGTATGTGTGGTGAGAATGTTATAAGAGGGAAACCCGTCAAGGATAATGAAAGACTACCTAGGCTTGGGCTTAAGGAAGCTTCCGTGCAGAAGGTAACACCTAAATTAAGACCTAATAGACAGTCAGGAGATAGCCAGGCAGAGGTGCCTGGGTGGCACAGTTGGTTAATTGTCTGACTCTTGTTTTGAGTTCAGGTCATGATCTCAGGGCCCTGATCTCAGGTCATGGGATTGAGCCCTGCACCAGGTTCTGTGCTCAGCATGGATTCTGCTTGGGATTCTCTCTCCCCTCTCCCTCTGCCACTCCCCCTGCTCTCTCTCTTCTTTCTCTCTCTCAAATAAATAAATAAACCTTAAAAAGAGAGAAGAGAGATAACCAGGGAAAGAGGCTGAGGGAATAATGTTGCAAAGAAGGGACAGCATGTGGGAGGACCCAGAGGATAGGGTATGTTCAAGAACCCGAAAGAAGAGAAATGCTGTTTAAGTCTAAGTGTAAATGGGGAGGGGCAAGAGGAAGTTAGTACTTATGAGCAAAGGTCAGATGACACAGGGCTTTGTATGACAGTAAGAGGAGTTTGGACCTTATCTTAACAAAGCAGATACCCACAATATCAGAATACCATCTTGGAAGGCAGAGATGACACTGATTTTTCCCCAAACCATAGGGTAGTGCAAGAATCTCCCAGCTGCAGCAGAATATGGGAAGCACGATGCTGAGATTCAGGATATAGGAGGAATTGATTTCAAGAAGCACATGTCTGTGAGTTACAAAATTAGCAGCACTCTCCAGTGCTTTATTAAGGCTCCCATAGCTTTTAATTTAAATTCAGCTCCTGTAGCTTTGCATTTTGTGATTCTCCCAATAGAGAAGGGAATTAAGCAAACGAGAGAGACTCAAACAAAAGGAAGCCCAGAAGATGGTAAATTGCCAGGAGCAATCAAGGCTGGCGAAGGTGTGACTGCAGCTATTGACCTATGCTGTTGCCATGGAAACCAAAGCTCTGTGGTCCTGGAGTGCTTTCCCTTTTTAAGGACAGATCAGTCTTAGAGAATAGTTAAGACTGCAAATTACTGAAGTTGGATCATCCATGGCCACACGTATTCCACACTCTTTTTAGTGACAGACACAGTGGGTCCGAGGCAGGCTCCCTAGAAGCCCAGAAGCTATCAGGGGTTAATCAGCGAAGGACAGAGTTTAGCTGTTGCCTCAGAACCATATCGCCAGCTCCACTATACTAGACGGACATATTAATTGTGATAATTTGGGAGGAGGGATATCATTAACTGGGTTTTACATAGTAATATATGATTTTTTAAATAATCAAATGAGGAGATCTGAAACCCATGAAGCAAATACATACAAATGTACTTTCTCTTTTTCTTCTGAGGTTTGTGTGAGGAGACTGTAGTCCTTTTTAGGTTCCTGGCAATGGAGTGCCTTCTAAGCACGAAGCACCATAATAATGCTTTGTGTGAATTATCTTTCTTTGTTCACCCACAGCCCTATTACAAGGATAGTGTTGTTATCCCCATTTTATAGGAGAAGATTGAGATTTAGGGAAGTTAAAATTTGTCCACAGTGCTACATATTTAAAAAACATGCAGGCAGTATTTGAACTCTATCATTTGGCCGCCAGACACTGCCTCATTTTTTTTTTTTATAGCATTTTTGGTAGATTATAATATCTTCTGTCTTACTGTTATGGAATTTCAAATCTAGGGAATAACTTGGAAGTCATCTAAACTGACTTCCTCGTTTTGAAAAGAACAGTGAGACCCAGGAAGTTTCTGTGACTTCCACAAGTGAATTAATTCCCCCAGGGAATTAATGACTAACAGAGACCAGAACTCTGGGCTTTTCAACATACCTTGCTGCCTTTCTTATCAACTGGAAATACGAACTTTGTATTTGTCTTTTTTTCCAAGTCTTTCGCATAACTACCTCTTGAGTCTTCTTTAAAAAAGCCTTGCCTTTTCTCTGTTCTGTTTTAGCTGAGCATTCTCTTCTCTGCATACAGAAGTGGTGCTGATTTATCCCAACATGAAGCATAGGCAGGCCTAAAAGAGCAGAATATACAGGTTTTGTAATGCGTGTGGCTCTTGTGCGGCTGGAACTCTGCAAGGAGGGCAATCAGTCAGGAATGGAGTGATGCACCACAGGTCCTCTTGGCCATTCTTTCCTAAAACGTCCTCTTTTGTTACCTTGTCTCATCTGGGAGAATTCATCTAGACTATATACAGTTTTAGGTCAATTATCTAGGAAGAGAAAAACATGAGCAGTGGAAGAGGAGCACTGGGGGGCAAGGCAGAGGGGCAGGGGGAAGAAGTGGGGAAATGTCTGTGGCAACTGCATTGCAGCAGAATGGCTGGAGAGTGAGTTCAAAGGAAGAGCTAATGACAAAGTAAATATCCTCTCTGGGCTGGTATGGCCAGGGCCTGCAAGCTATTTTCAGTCTGTTTGTTCCAAGAGACTTCAAGGAGAACATTGTGCCTTACTAGCAAGGGAAAAACCTGACATTCCATTTTAAGGGAGAATCCCCTTTTAAAAGCGAGAGATGAACAAGCAAAAGCAAAGCAATGGTTACTTTTTAATTTGCTAGATCAACTAAGGAGGACTTCGAGCAAGAATCTGGGAGAGGACTGGAAAAGAAGAGAGGGAAAATTTAGCCAAGGGGGGACTGAGGAGCTGCACAAGAAAGGGAAGCCTCCATGGAGTTATAGGGGCCTCGTGGAGGCCTCAAGAAAGAAAGTTCTGGTGAAAGTTGAAAATGCACACTTCTATAGAGGCTAGGCAGGGACACGTAGTTGTGAATTAGACCTGCTAAAGGGCAGCTGGGTGCTGAGTCTTGAATGTGGGGTGAGTAGAACAGCTGCCCAAATTGTCCTTCCTTTTAGGACACTCTGCTTCCCAGTCAGTAATCCAACAAAATGTCTCCCTTAGCTCTACATCATGATGCAGTGGTTGTTTCTGTCACTTCTAATGCCTCATGCAGATCTTTATTTTACCAATGAAACAGTTTCTAATTCAAGGATAGTATAGTACTAAAGGAAACCAGAGGGGAAGTGGAACTCTCTTCATCTAAGAACGATTTTCATTTCCTCTTTTAATTAGCTGTGTTACTTAATATAACAATACCTTCTTCACCCACGTGTGTTGAACAAGAAAACTGTGAGGCTTCATTGTGGAAGAATCTCTCCCATTGCACTTAATGGGAAAAAAATAAGAGATCTTACTCTCACCCCCTTTTCAAAGGCCAGGTTTAATCCCAGGTCATTTATGAATACCAGAAGTCCAAAATGACCTGTCCATTTGTCCACTTCCTTCCTTTACCCATCTACCCATCCATTTATTCACTCAGCCTTCCATTCATCCAACAAATATTTAATGAGAGCCTATTAGTTATTAGGCATTATAATAATAGGGACAGAGGACTCAACACTGGATAATAAACATGCAATGCCTGCAGTCTAGATGAAAGCCCAAAATAAAAAATCACACAAACAAATGCAAAAATAGAAATATAAATAAATGTTCTGAGGGAAAAAGAAGCATGGTGATATTAAACCTAATAAAAGATCTTGAACTTGACTTCTTCAGGCAGTCAGGGCAGACAACTTACACACTAGTTTACCAATGTACTAATTACATAAGCAGAATTTACCTAGAAAGAAAATAAGAATTAATGACTGCCCATTATTATAGAACATTATCATTTGTGTTGGCTTGTTTGTTTAAAAGAAAGGGCAAAATCTCAAATTGCTTTGAAGGGTTTGTAACTACTATTTAAAATAATTAGAGGGAAACATGAAAATGTTGGTTGGGAAAATTCCACAGAGATTAGCATTCTTTACACAGGTCTGGCATTAAATATTTCTTTGCAGTGTCACAAAGTGGAGGAAATAAATGTTAAAACTTACCCCAAACCTGTAGCTATATCACAGTTCTAGGGAAGATAATTCACACAAAGCATTATTATAGTGCTTGGTGCTTAGAAAGCACTCCATGGCCAGGAACCTAAGAGGACTACAGCAAAAGTTATCCTCTCCGAGCCAGAAAATCCACAGCTGAGAAGTGGTAATAAGAAGTGGTAATAATAACTCTGAAACCTTACTGTGAATACTGAATGTGGGGTGCCTGGGTGGCTTAGTCAGTTAAGTGTCTGCCTTCAGATTAGGTCATGATCCCACGGTCCTGGGATCAAGCCCCACATTGGGCTCCCTGCTTGGTGGAAAGCCTGCTTCTCCCTCTCCCTTTGTCCCACCCTCACTTGTGCTTGCTCTCTCTCTCTCTCAAATAAATAAATAAAATCGTTTAAAAGTATAAGTGAAAATACCTCCAGCATTAAGGTTATTTAATGCCCTGAGATGTGTGTAAAGCATTCATCTGCTGAATAACTAGTCTCAGTTACCTTACCTACCTATCCTTGCTGGACTCTTAAAGACTACTTTTACATTTTTTTTCTCCGAAGACTTTGTGCATTGAAATATTTTTCTCAATGAAATCAGCTTAATTGATTCTATAATAATTCCATTTGAGATTTTCAAGAATCATGAACTTTTAACTACAAGTCAGAAATTCTGATTGGCATGGTTACAACTGAATTTATGTATTTTTCAAATGAAAGAAACCAGAGTTGCCTGCACCATTTTCATCATCATTTTTGTAATTCAAAATAGCTCTCTCTCATGTGAATAGCAAAGCAGCTTTGGTCCAAATTCCTTTCCAGGAAAACTCAAGAATGCCAAGCCAAGAGCAAGGTTGAAGGAGGTGGGACTGGAGGTAGATGAAGTATGTGTCCCACCCCACCCCAACAGTCCGGAGGGTGCCAATGCACTAAGAAGAACTAACTCCCTAATTTCAACATGTGTTGATGAAAAAAATATGTGTCTATACCTGTATATAGACTCAAAACCATACAATTCGTTGTTTCTCAGCTTTCCATTGATTGTCCCATTAAGTCATTGACTCACATGTGCGGTTATGATTCTGTTGTTACAGAGAGGTCTCATCTTCTGAAACTTGCAGACTTATTTTTTGATGAGCTCTAAAACAAAGGGTATTAAAATAGCATGGTCAAGTCTACATTTCTGCCCTAAAGTCAGCTTTTTGTACACCTTGCTTCCTGTCCTTGGCTGCCACATTTTGCAAGCTGCCCTCCATAGAGGATTATAGAGTGCCTTGAGAAATTCTCATGATAGGTGCAGAAGTAATATCTTGGGGGGAAAAAAGTCCATAAAAATTATATGCACTCCCTTCTGGCCATGGCATGTTGATATCAGTTACCTCTTTTCAATTACCAAAGTTGTCAGTATGGTCTGGGGTTACTTTCCTCACTTTAAGCTGTGAGTTGAGTGTGTGTACTTGCCTAGGAGTAAGGATGGTAGAGGGCTGTTTTTGCCCAGGTTGAGGTGATTTAAGGGAGTCAAAAGTCCTACTCTTACATCCCTACTGCCTGTCACAGAGTTTAAAACTCCCACTACTACTGAGTTTTCCCTTTATCCGCAGTTTCTAGAATTACTTTGTTTAGCTGTCTAAAGATATACAAAAAAATTGTATAAGATCAGTATGTGATGTGATCTTCAACCATTACCGCTTCTTAATACGTTCATGAGTTGATGTTTCACATAAGTGACAGGAATTTGGAAAAGAATCACTACACATTTGACTAATGAACTGCTTTCTTCTAAGACAAATGGTAGCTGAGTGCAGAGGTTGTGGGTTACTGGCTAGGTGTGGGGGAAGGATACCATGTAAGTTTAGACACCTTTGGGTAAAAAGATAACTTGAGAAAATAATGCCAAATTGTCTTCATTTTGCTTCTATGTTCTCCCCTCCTGGTCCTTTATTATCCTTTCTAATCTCTGACTTTCATCACTATGTCTACTTAATTCACAGTGTCTCTCATGGCCCTCCAGGCATAAATGCATGCACTAGCTCAGCACAATATTAAACTGAGGATACAGATATGTGAAAGGCAATTCTCTGCCTCAGAGGAGTTTATGTTCTGCTTAACCTTATAACCACTTTTTTCACTTTCAAATCGTGGACTAATATTGCCACTCACTTGTTAATTTGCATTATTATGCCTGCAAACCCTTGAAACCCAGCGTCATTCTAGGTATAACATGCATTCCTTTATTTAAAAAAAAAAAAGGAGCTTTCCTATGCCAGGGACCATTCGAGACTGTAGTGACAGAAAGATGATCTCAAAGAACTCAGAGACTATTGTGAAAGCCACAAAAATTAACCAACAGCTCTAGTATACCACGATAAGTACTATCTGTAGTAGAAGTGCACGTTCATAGCTATGTGAACAGAGATGAGGAAGTCTACATCTGCTCGAGGGGGTGAAGTGTGTCATCTGGACGAAAGTCATTTTGAGCTAAGATTGGGGAATGACACAAGTTTTCATGGCTGTCGAAGTTCCTGGAAATATTAGATACAAGATATACAAGATATACCTGTCTTGATATGAGAGACAATCTGGGCCTAATCACTCTGGGGACCCTGTAGGGCATCATGAGAAAACAAGAAGCATCGTGATAAATTCTGGGGCAACCAGACATCAGAGGGAGTTTTAATGCTTGGAAAATATTAAAAGTGAGAGAAAGCCTCAAGAAAGAGATGGGGAAAGCTATTAACATAAACATACATGCACACTTTTTCTTAGTATTTTGTAGAAAATATATATGTGAGTATAAATAGACATTTCAAACAGAGGAAACTTAATAAGGGGATTGGTTACAAAAGTGTTGCAGGATATTTAATAAGGCGGTTGGTTGCAAAAAGAGATAATTTTACACAGATAATTTTACTCAGTAACTGCAGGAATCAGTTCCGTCCCCTACTGCAGGGAGAACCAAAGTGAAATGGGGCGGCCTAGAGGCCACAGTTACCTTGCGCCTGAGGCCGCTGCCTGGGAAATCATACTGTGTGAGTAGGAACCCAGGAATGGATGCTCCTCAGTCACTTACTGCAGGAGTCCCACCAGAGGGTGGAACGGAAAGCTTCTCACTTTATCCCACCTTCCCATCTAACAAAAAGCCAATTGACACGGGGGTCTGGAAGTTTGCAAAATATGTGTACAGCTTCCTATCTCCAGGAGTATAGAGGAGAATGTAGAAGAATGACTGTGGGGTGGAGAGATAGTAGACACTCTCTGGTGATCACATGTCCTTGGGAAATCTCTTGCCCTCGATTCCTTCTTCCTCCGCCACCCGGTCTCCACCCACAAAGAACAGTATGGGGGACACACACATAAGTGTTTTCATTTTCTTCCTCATTATCCACATACATAGTCATGTCCACTTTCAGGAAATGGGAAATCTAAGTATGTCCTAGAGCAAATGAGAGAAAGTATGGACGAATAGGGGAGATGCAGGTTTAGGAGTGAGCCTTTAAAAACTAAGCAGAGGAGGCTAGTAGTAATTATCTCAGAAAAATAAGAGTCTCCTCCATTCCCAATCCATTCTTTACCAACCCAAAGAAAAGAACGTATCCACTTAGTTTATACATTTATGCTTTCCTCTTGATATTTTTAGGTCAGCATATCTTGTTCATTCTCACTGTTACAGATGTAAGTAGAAATTAAGTTGTATTTTTACAGCCAACAGTTTCTGATAATGAAATGTGACAAAACCAACTCCAATAAGCTGCTATTCATGTTGTTCACATATGTTCTATTGTACATATTTGGGTAGAAAAATAAGATGTGTCTGCTTCAAAAGGAGATTAAATGGCTAAAGATTAGAGAACAATGACAACTAGAGAACTCAATAGAAGAAACAAAAATAGATACATAGCCAAAGAAAGAAGTTTCTGTTTTCAGTTTAATTTATGGAAGAGTTCTGTTTTTAATAAGAAAAATAATTAACATTTGTTGATCTTTAAGAGATTAATATAAAAATGAAAAAGGAGTTAAAGTAAACACAGTTGGGAAAAAAATGTATGCTTTTGCTTTTACATTTCTTTTTCCTTTGTGTAACCTTGAATTTTTTTTTTTTAAAGATTTTATTTATTTATTTGACAGAGAGAGAGATCACAAGTAAGCAGAGCAGCAGGCAGAGAGAGGGGGGAAGCAGGCTCCCTGCTGAGAAGAGAGCCCGATGCGGGGCTCAATCCCAGGACCCTGGGATCATGACCCGAGCCGAAGGCAGAGGCCTAACCCACTGAGCCACCCAGGCGCCCCTAACCTTGAATTTTTAAAGGTACCACATGTCAGTGGTCCACATCATACAATATTCTTTTGGGTACATGTTAAATGGTAATTAGTGTCACTTGATTGGAAATTTAGAAGAAGACGTCAGGCAATGCCAGGACTTAAGAATATAAAGCAAAATTCATACCCTTCAATTCATTTGCAAAGTTATGAAAGCATTCTATAACTACTAGATATCTGGAGGTGGTTTTTATGGCATGGGGTCCTCATAGATATATAAGAGGTTGGAAGGATTTTACCATAATCTCATCTCTAAGGTAATTCCATCGAATAAGGGAGTCCTGCAGACCTTTCCTCTAGTTGTTTCCGCTTGCTAGAATGCTTTCCCCAAGATTTCCACTTAGCTGATTTCCTCACTGTGTTCAACTATGGCCACTGAACATGCCTCACTCACTTTATAATAGCAGCTGACACTTTCCCACGGCAGCAAATGTCTTAAGACATCAATTAGCCAAAAAGAGCAACTCTAATAGACAAATTTTTAAAAATGTAACAGTAATGTATTTACATGTTTCAATATTCAAAAGAGGAAGAGAGTTTACCGTGAAGTTTTCATTTTTGTCCCTTCCCCATACTTCCCACTCTCACTTCTTGATGCCACCTACACATTAGTGGTGGATCACTCCACAGGATGGAGCCCATGGCCAGTTCCTCTGTTAATAAAAATATGGAGAGTTTACACTATTACAGGACACATGCCCCTGAGACATGTTACACAGTTTAATGGACCACGATATTTCATTTTCTATCTCATATGGATAATTACTTTAAAGAAATCCCTGGAGCACCAAAACATTATGTTGTGATGTAGAGTGAGTGTTATTTCTTTGGAGAGCAGTGATCAATTCTTTAATGCCTACGGGGATCACCTCATAGAGAAGAACATTCATGACTATTTGTATTTTGTTTAATGGTTGTATTAGTCAAGATTATACAGAGAAACAAAATATATGTGTATACATAAGCACACACATATGTAAACAGATTTATTATAAGTAATCAGCTCACCCGATTATGAAGACTGGGAAGTCATATGATCTGCCTTCTGCAAGCTGGAGACCCAGGAAGGCAGGTGGTGAGAGCCGGAGAGCTGATGGTGTAGATTCTTGCCTATATCTGAAAACTGAGAACCAGAAGTGCCAACGGTAGGAGATATTTATTCAGTTCAAACACTGAGGCAGAGACAACAGGAACCCACCCTTCTTTTACCCTTTTGTTCTCTTCAGCCCCTCCAGTGATCTGGTGAAACCCATTTGCATTGGGGAGGGCCGTTTGTTTTATTCAGTTCACTGACTCAAAGGCTAATATTTTTGGAAAACAACCTCACAGACACACATAGAATAATGGGCATCCTCTGGTCTGGTCAAGTTGACATAAAATTAACCATCACAGTGGTCAGTTATTAAACTTAACATATTTCATAAATGAAACATAAATAGCATACAAATAATTAAATTTCCTCTCAATGTAAACGAGAAAGAAGAAGTTACTGTGTGACTCATCTTTGTGAATAATTCAAACCCTCTGAAAAGGCAAAACTTACACATAAACTTAGCAGATTTATTATTCTACTAACACTTAGAACTAGTCTATAGTTTCGGTAACATGAGCTTAATTAATTCCTTTATTGCTTCCCACTTGATGTTAATGCTTTCCAGGGATATATCTACGCTCATTTTGATATATAACCAGAGCTGTAGTAATGTTTATTTTGATAACTTCTTGCAGTCAGAGTAATCTTAGCAGAAGCACAAGTCATAAAATACCTTCTCAGACCAGCCAAGGATTTTTCATTAGCAACAGATGGGACAAAGAATTTGACTGCTTTCCCCAAAGTGAGTCTCTTTTAGTGGGCACATTTTATTTTTTTTTTCAAGACTTTATTTATTTATCTGACAAAGAGAGAGAGATCACAAGTAGGCAGAGAGGCAGGCAGAGAGAGAGGGGGAAGCAGGCTCCCCACTGAGCAGAGAGCCCAATGCGGGGCTCGATCCCAGGACCCCGAGACCATGACCTGAACCAAAGGCAGAGGCTCAACCCACTGAGCCACCCAGGCGCCCCAAGCGGACACATTTTATTTGTTATTTCACTAACTTTCACTTAAGTCCTCATTTCTTGTGTGGATATCATTATTGCCATTATTTTATCTTCTGGTGTCTTCCCCCAGTCCTCATTTCTTGTGTGGATATCATTATTGGCATTATTTTATCTTCTGGTGTCTTCCCCCAGATATAATGTATTTTTAGGTCATCACTTTGCTAGCATTTCACACTTCATTGTCTTGTCATTATACTATGTTATTATGCTATGACCTAGTCTGTTAGCATTATTATAAACAGATGTATTCCTTATTAGAATTTTATTATCAGTAGTACTATCTAGGAGATTCACCTTCTGGCCACAAGGGATTAACGGTAGGTAGTTAGCTCTCCTCATAAAGAGCATTGATTTATTATTTATTAACCTGGAACACTGTTGATTTCCTTCTCCACTTGGCCTTGTGTGTGGCTACCGATACCAACACTCTCTTGAACTCCCTTTCCACCTGATTTTTATATTGGAACACCTGGAATGCTCATTCCTTTGTAGTTTTGGTATAGATTCCATTTTTTCCCCCAGAACTTCTTGGTTTTCACCAGGCTTCTTTTCTTTATTCTTTTCCCTATGCACAGATGGAAGCGAGAGCATTTCTATTTTTTATAAACAGACGTAGAGCATCTATATAAAATTACGGGAAACGGACACCTTTATATATAGTAATGTTAAAGAACAAAAATTCAACTGAGTAAATTTGAAGATCTCATTAACTTTATTAAGCAATTCATGAATTGGACACCATCCCAGCTAGTAGAGTAGAGTGGAGCTCCAAGGAATTGTGCCAAATGGAAGGTTTTTATAGGAAGGAGGTTGGGGCAAGGAAGTTATTATCAACAATGGAAAAGAAAGGATTGTTTCAGGTAAGGTCACCTTCCCTTAGGGGGAAGGGCAGAAAGTCTCATTAGAAAGATCACCTCATCTTCCTTTTTTAGAATGTTTAGGGCCTATGTTACAGATTATTTCATTGGTGCTAACCAGCTAAGACTACACTTCTGGAGAGAGATTGAAATTGCCATTAAGTTAGGTATTAAGCCCCTGTTTGGTTACTTGGCCTCAGTGGCTCCGTTTTGGGCACAATTTATTTTGTTTCTTTTCTTTTCTTTTCTTTTCTTTTTTTTTTTTTTTTTTTTTTTTAACAGTAGTAACTTTTTTGTTTGTGTTAAAGTCATTGTAAATTTAAATATACCCTATTATATTCACCCTTTTTTGCAGTGCTAGTATCCTTTAAAAATATTTATACAAACTGTTCTCTGTAGACTGATATTAGGAACTCCCTGATTTTTACAGCAAACCTTTTTCAAATTAATATAGCAATTATTACATCTGTTGTTGTTTAAAGTTTAAATGATCACAACTTGACTGATGAAACCATTTTGTGTGGGTTTATCCTTTCAACACTACCTTCTTCTTGGTAAAAATTGGACATATTCTCGTATTTCTCTCTCCTAAGACATGGAATTCATTGCTTTTCTGCAGTATCCCTTGCCTCTTAGTTGAGGAGAGTATGAGAATAAAAAATCTCGGTGCTAGGATTGCACAAGAGTGTCGGGGGTGAGCAAAAATGTTCCTTCTGCATTTGATCTATTTTCATTAGTAGCAAAGGTAAAATACATGCGTGTGTCTATGTGTATGTGTATACATAGGTACACACATGTATATACACACACACATTTCTTTTTAAGGAGTGAATTCACACTGATTTTTCTAATTTAAACATATAATGTTTCATCAGCAACTAAGATTTCCTCTACGTGAACAGAAATGACATTTTTTTAAAAGACTATGTTTATTGATTTGAGAGAAGGAGTGAGAGAGAGAGAGAGAGAGCACAAGTAGAGGGAGTGGCAGAGGGAGAGGGAGAAGCAGGCTCTCCTGACTTGGAGCTGGATCCTAGGCCTCTGGGATCATGACCCAAGCCAAAGGCAGACACTTAACCTACTGAGCCACCCAGGCACCCCAGACACAACAGTCTGATGTTCTCACCCTGAAAGATACTACATTACTACAGAAGAAAATGCTTAGCTAATGATCATGCTCAGCATTTCACCCTATTTCTGCTAAATGATGAAGTCTCACCTTAATCCTGCCAGCAGTTCTATTTTTGAAGCGGAGGACTTCTTTCATAGAATGCATTTTACCAGAGTCGTGATCCCACGGCCAGCGGATGCATGGGAGCGCCACCAGGCAGTCATGCAGGGTTGCGAGCTGTGAAGGACCCCCACACCAGCTTTAAGGCTCTGCAACCACTCCTTATGATTCACCATCATTTTTGAACAAGTCTTTGCATTTTCCTTTGCCACAGAACCCTGCAAATTATATAACCCAGTCCTACCCATAATGCATGAGCTAGTAGATTAGAATTTAAGGTCCCGGTTCCTTTACCCTTTTATTCATCCAAAATAAGCAGCAAGTTCTTAGCAGGTGTCCTTTCAATGAATAACAAATCATATTAAATCCCAGAGACTCCCCAATTCCCATACGCGATTCAAATGCTGTATCACCGACAGGAAAATCAGCATGAATATTTGACTGGTTACTTAAAGTCCCTGGGAGACTTAAAAGTACAGATTTCTGGAACCTCCCCAAAATGAATCCAAACCTTTTGGAATGGAAGAGAGTAATCTGTACATTTACAAATCTCTTGGCTTTGCTTTGTTTTGTTTTGTTTTGTTTTTGTTTTATGCCCGTGAGTGGTATGGAACATGAGGCTCCGTTACATTAGGCTGTCGAAATCTGTGACATGAGCGACTTGTGTTACCAAAGTCAGTTCCTATTGGGTATTTATCTGATATGATTTCTGTCTGTTTCTGTGCTACCAGCGGGATACCTCCGCGGAGGGAACCAGCAATTACTATTCTCATCCACTGTGGGTGTGAGACCTCTTAGTTCTCCTAATCATGCTCAGCTAACACTGCCAGCAAAACATTGGCGGAGTGAGTCCTTTTTCGTGTCTAGTTGTTTTTTCCCCTGACCCCAGATGTCTATTTTCTGTGGTAACTATGTGGGCTTTTCCATTATAACTTATTCCCCTTTCTCCTTCCTGAATCTGATGTTAATCACAACTGTTACTTTCTTCTGCTTGGCCTTGCTGCTTTTGTGGGAAAAAGAGAACAGAAGACAGGAGCGAAGCAGAAGCAGAAGTACCATTTTAATGTAGCCACCTGGCAAGTTCTTGGTGCTATCCTGACACTTACATGGTATAATCATTGACAAGGAATGGATTATTTCCTCCTGCACGCTTTTCTTGAGGTACAGAGTCTAGGGCTTGTGAGATCCTCAAGGAACCAGGACCTTAGACAAACAACCGAAAAAGGAAGAATTAACTCTAAAGTCACAAAATAAAACTGCAAATTCAGAATTAGTAAGTGCTAACTAAATATATTTTACATTTACTTTATTATTCCTATTAATCATCACAAAAATTCATTATATTTGAAAATAATTTGTAAGAATTCTTCACTTTGCAAGAATCCCTGAATATACCTAATTATTGCTGAGAATTATAGCCAAATGTTAATTAAATGCATTATCTGTATACAAATAATTTCAGAAACAAAATTATAAGATCCATTTCAATTTTTTAATGAGAAAAATATGTTTAGGGACACAGAAGTCAACTTAAAGCACTCCAAGTGACCAAAACTGAGACAATTTGAGCAATAAAATAAATAACATTAGATTACAACCTAAAGTATAAAATTAATAGCTGTGAGTCTGACATAAATAAGTACATGAATATAAAAATTTAAATTTATTTCATGTGAGATCTGGATAGTTTTTATATGTTTAGAATACTGTGGGGAGGAGCACCTGGGTGGCTCAGTCAGTTAAGCGGCTGCCTTCGGCTCAGGTCCTGATCCCAGGGTCTTAGGATCGAGCCCCACATCAGGCTCTCTGCTCTGTGGAGAGCCTGCTTCTCCCTCTCCCTCTGCCTGCTGCTCTGCCTACTTGTACTCTCTATCTCTGTGTCAAATAAATAAAACCTTTAAAAAAAAAAAAAGAAAAAGAATGCTATGGGGACACCATGAAACCTAAGAATGCCAAAAGACCCCTAAGGTCTTAAGATGACCCCATTGTGTACACTGCCTACAGGCTCACATCCC